AAGATGGTCTAATCTTCTATCTTCAGCAGAAGCAGGAATTAGCAGACTTGGTAAAGACATTAGCCAGAAGCTACAGTTTTCGAGCAGTGAGAATGATGGTATCGCGGAGGTGTGTCCACAGTGTGGTGCGAAATTCTTCTCGGTTGCTACTCTTGTGGAACATGTAGAGAAAACACATGAGAGGAACAAGAAGCAGAATCATGGCAATGTCACGGTCGATGTTTGCCCTAAATGTAGCAGAGGATTCCGCGATCCAGTGGATCTTGTAAACCATATAGAAAGAGATCACCGAGGTACTTCTAAAGCATAGTGTGCATTCAGTGGATTCCGTGATTCAGTGGATCTTGTGAACCATTTTTATCCCTTATGCTGATTCGAAACAGCCAAAGTTGAGGTCAAGGACTCGTGTCCAGAAATGTAGACCAATGTTTAACACATTGGTTATGAAAACCACTATAATGGTTCAGCACAATTTATTTTCGTAGAGTTTTGTGACTAAAACAGAACAGAAAACTTTAATTTACAATTTGTGATATTCTACAAAATGTTGTTATTGTCACTGGATTATCAATTATATTTTTCCTATTTATTTGTTTTGGTGAATATATTTTTCCTATTTATTATTAAAAGAATTTAAATCTAATAAGTATACAGTAATTTGCTATAACGTTCTGCTAATTTTTCTTTCCTTTTTTTCAACTGCATTTTTGGTTGTTACTTCATAATGCAGCGAAACAAATTTACAAGAGAAAAAGTGTTTAAAAATATCAGAAATTTATATTTTTAAGCCTTTACGGTTTTACGTTTTCTTTGACCAAAAACAAAAATAAAAGCTTTTCTTTTACCTTTTTGTCGCCGTTAAAATATTCTTCTGTCTGACTCTGACGTCACCATTAGGTAGTTATCCGCGGGAAACTTTTACCGAGTTCCGCCGTACAAAAACAGATTACCGGCCCCACGTGAACGTCATGTGCAATACGACGTTGATATAACTGACAGCTAACTTAACGGTGCAATAAAACGTAATTAATGGATTTTATCAAAAAGAATTCTTCTTAAATAAGTATATAAAAATGTGATTTTGTCACTTTGACTCATTGAAGAGTGACTCACCTCCATTGACTTTGTTCTAAGAATTTTTTAATAGTAAATTATTTTCATGGCAATATCAAAAATAAACTCCAAATGTAATTTTTTTTACAGATCATGCCTAGTGCCTACACACACTGTATATTAGTATTTATTTTGTAACTAATTATAGAATAATTTAAAAGATTATGTTTTTGCTTTATCTGCACTGTATGAGCTGGCGAAAATGCAGTAACTACCTCAACAATTTAAAAAACAAAAAAACTCAAGAAATATAAATAATTATTCGCATCCTACGGCTGAGATTTCATATCTGATTTTTTTTTTTTTTAAATAACAAATAATATAGCAAGCAACGAAACGGTAGAAGGTGGAACCCGCGTCGTGTCGTTGAAACGTATCTCTGAATTTTTATTATTCAGAGGAAAAACAAAAACAAAAAAAGATCACAACCGGACGATCCGGCGACTAAATTCTACT